AATAAAAATATTGTATTGTATTATATTGTATAAAAGCAAAATGTTTACTTACTGACATGAATCTTATATTGATTGTTCTCATTTGTTTTTGAATATGTATTAATATCTAAAAGATAAATCGCTTTTGGAATATGGATTTAAAAAAATAGAAACAAATGCATCTACAAGCTACAGAAATAGTAACAGGGCTATAACAAAATTTTCAAATTTAAAATCCATATACTAGTGTTTCGAAACAGGCTGTGAAACCTTAGCAGAGTATACAATCTAATTAAAATATAGAACTCTGATTTCGAAGTATAACGAAATCAGAGTTTTACATTTTAATTAGATTGAGCGGTATAGACAATGATATCAATTTTCTGCCAATGCATTTACAGATCTTGTATACAATATGTAATTGACTGTCTATTCCGTGTTGTCATCTAATGTAGACTCAGTAAAATTGAAAAGTAGTTCACACCATCTACCACCAGAGGATGGAATAATTAAATATCATCTGTTAAAAATTGTAAAACGATTTCACAATTTAAACGGAAAACAGAGGGCGAATCATTCAGAACTCCTAATATTATAACGAAAGGTCCAGAACATTTTACATTTTGCATACAAGGCTTCAAGGAACCAGTGCCGTTCTCTAAATTCTGACCTACAAAAAATACATGTAATGAACAATCTAATTGCTAATCTGATTTCTAATATACGTTGTGATAGCTAGTGTCGAGTCTTATTAGACTATTAACCGGATTTGTAATAACATAAGCAACACGACGGGTGCCACATGTGGAGCAGGATCTGCTTACCCTTCCGAAGCACCTGAGATCACCCCAGTTTTTGGTGGGATTCGTGTTGCTTAGTCTTTACTTTTTCTATGTTGTGTCTTGTGTACTATTATTTGTATGTTTGTCTTTTTTATTTTTTAGCCATGGCTTTGTCGGTTTGTTTTCGATCTATGAGTTTGACTGTCCCTCTGGTATCTTTTGCCCCTCTTTTATTGCCTAATTATTGCAATGAAATGTTATAAAACTTAACTGATTCCACAGATTGTTGCAAATTGTAAAATACGTTATTACGATTTTAATCGAGATCAAAAATTTTCAGACTCGTGATCTCAAATTCGAATATTTTTTATTTTTTTTTGGAGGGGGTCTTAAATCAGCTTCCGTAACACGATAATGATGTAATTGACCAATTCAGAATTTAAACATTATTTCTCGTATAAACGTTACACTGTTTAGATGGCAATGCAAATGCAATTTCAAGTTTATATTTCATGATGTACAACATAACTAAAACAAATTATAGCATTTCTTAAGTTTTCACACATTTTAGGAATCTTTTTACCCTTACCTGAACACATTATTCTGACTCCAAGCCGACCAGTCTATGCTCTTTGTCCTTAATGCTGCCTGCTTAGCAGAGAAGCAGCAAATGCCAATTTTAAAGTCTTTGGTTTGACCCGGCCGGGGTTCGAACCCACGACCTCCCGCATTCAAGGCGAACACGCTACCAAGAGACCACCGAGGCGGTCCTTGAATACGAAAATCAACAAAGTAATATAGATCTAACAATAAAATAAGACATACATACGTATATCAGACTCCAGTATTCATATCTTTTACTACTACTGGAAGTGTTTAACGACCTTGACTGGCTGTTCAGCCCTCGCACGGTCGGCTCGGTGTCCGAAGGCGTTTTGGTGAGCGTTTAGATATTTTCTGCAGTCGGTCAGGAACAGGTGGAATGCGCCATATTGGTAGGCGGCCATCTTGGTTTTGGTGAGTTGTTTTGGTTTGGTTTGTTGACTATTTTGATGTTTTCTTGCAGTCTGTACTTCACAACGGCTGCTTTCAGGGCCAGGTTGGTCAGCTTGGCAGCCCGCTAACCACGATGATGGAGTACTGGTCGATGAGTCTCGGACATAGTAATAACGATGACAGGAAGCATTATCAGGACCAAAATCGTGAGACATTGAAGTGGCGGTCCATTATCTAAAACCTAGGATACAGCCCTAGGACGTCAGTTGGGTTTTGGAGTGTATGCTGATGCGGGAATTCGTCCTACGTGGATTATAGCCTATCGTAGTCTGTACAGCGTTGGATTGGTTTCTGTCATCGAAAGTAGTAAATCGTTGATCCATCTATCAGTAAACCCTCATCGTAGATAGCGGGTAAAGGAGAGCTGACCCAGCACACCTCCGTTCAGCTGTTATGACTGAGACGTGACTGGATTGATGTTCATATTTTTGAATTCTGTCTTACATATTTATATTAGGGCTGCAATCCTGAGGTATTTTCTTCAAAACGGCAAAAAAGTGTCATGCTAGCCTCATTTTGAGATATAGTAAATAATATTTAGATATGAGCCATGGCTGTACCCAAAAAGAAATTTTCCTACAAGATGTTTTACAAAGATTTTATATGTGTGTTAAATTGGTCCTTGGGTCATATCTGATCTGTCCAAAAAACTATGTGAAAAATGGCCGCTTACCTCTACTTTTCTTTTCATTATTATACATAGTTTAAAAAGCCATTTTTGAAAATCTTAAAAATCCTTGTTATCTTTTTTCTCACAGTTTTTGAAAGAAAAAAGGTGCCAATGATAAATGCATGAAAAATCTAGAGAGAATCATTTCCCGCCAAATTTTCAATTGATTATATCTCAAAAATAAGGACACAAAACTTTCATTTTTTCTTCTTTTTAAAGTTCCGTTATTCATATACTATCAATTTATAACAGGCTTTTAAAATTTTTGTTATTTTGAAACAGAGGAGCGAACATCCTTAAGGTCAAGTATGTCAATTTTGACATGTTTATGACAATGACATCATAGTGGTTATTTGTTAAAATTTCTGAACGGATGAAATAACTTCCTGGTGTCTTCCTCCTATTCCAACTTTTTAAAAATCACTATTCCTTGTATTCCCACATACAAATAACAATAGATGTTTTGATAAATAATTTGTTTTTATAACAATCAAGGTTAATTAAAAATTCACCTATGATTTACCTGTATTTAAAAAAAACATATTTCTTACTCTGTTTAAGTATATAATTTAAAAAAAAAATAAAGATTAATACAGTGCATTTGTAAAATGTTTTTTCTTCTTCAAAGAATTACCTTGAAATAAAGAATAAGTCAGATAAATAGTAAGATTAAAAAAATCTTCAGTACCACTATCTTCCTGGACTATGAAGTCGTCATCCGAGACGTTTTTCTTACATCAACGCAAACCACTGTATTTTTCCACTGCACCCAATGCATCTGGAGAAAAGCACAAGGAATAGGGATTCAGGTTCGGATCCATACAAGAAAGAGAACAACGTTCATCAACAAGTACGCCGTGCCGCTGTCCTTCTACTTATACCTACTGCTGAGGTCGAAGATGTGTGGTTAAATGCCCTAACCGACAAAGATCAGATTGATACTAACATCAACTAAACGCCCTTTACAGACTATGCAACAAACTACTGATGGGACCATTACACATTACAGGGACTGCGGACTACACATTATCTAAAGGCACGACAATGCAAGCGGAAGAAACATGTCCATCACCCTCATTCAAACATCTTTAAACCAGAGACATATAATAAACTCATAAAACTACTGAAACATACGGAAGCTACGCCCTGACCATGATCAAGAATGCAGCCGTTGGGAAGAGAGTGGCCCAAAAACGAAAGTATGTCGAAATCAACAACAGATTAGAAGAGCCTATGGATAGACATCGCAACCATGAAGTCACAACAGTACAGTTTGGTGATGCAGCCTCCCACCTTATTCACGTTGAATAGATTAATAAACTCTGATAGACTAATACACAGTGAATTTATAATGTGTGTGCTACAATGTATTTTTTGTTTTAGTGCTGTTAACTTGTATTGGTTGTTTCATATTATAATGCTTGCTTGAATCTACTGTTGAATTTGTGTTATAAAAGAAATAAGATAATTTACTATATTTGTTTCCATTTCTTTCATATTTATTTATAATTAAAATCACAGAATTCATACACATACAAAAATAACCTATTACCTATCCAAAAAAATCACTTGTCAATTAAAAGTTAGTTAAGCAATGTTTATACAGTATAATCCTTTGATTGCACAAGTTTTCCTACTATTTCCACATGAAATTTTTACTTTTCTTACCAGATTTATAAAAAGTGGCAATAGGAGGAATGAACCAATGAAGACAACATATTATAATAAATCGGCAAATTGTAATAAGCTTTGAATAATGAATTCGTTATATTATTTTCGTTGTTTGTCATATATGTATATTTGTAAACCATTGGCCCATATGTGCGTAAAGCACTTTTTTTTTAAAAAAAGAATCAAAATTTATATATTTGTTATTTGGCAAAATGTCTTCCTTCAATTATGTAGTCAATAGACTATTTTCATATTACCGACTTTTGATTCCGGGGAAAATAATTAAATATTTAATGCAACAAAATCATCGGAAAACAGTTGTTTCCCCGAATTATTGATTTTACTTCTTTTGGCTGCTCTTACTTGACCGAGTACAAAGAGTAAGTAACCTGTCAAAAAATTATATACTGCGGAGTCAAAAGTCGGTAATATGAAAATGGCCTATTCGGTAGGGATACCTTCCTTATAAAAACGACATATTTAATAAAGCGGCTTACTGTTATAAGATCGAATAACGAATCAATTAAATATATTATATGACAAAATGTCTGAATGCCTGAAACATTTCCTTCAATTATGTAGGGATAAATTCCTTTTGGGTCCATTTTTTTTTCCATTTAGATAACTTTTTAAAATTTTAGTATGAAATATTTTTTCTCTCTCTAAAGGTATAGACGAGTAACTATGTCTGCTGCATTGAGTATGTTACTCTTTCTCGTGACCTTTTTTCAACATGGTGCAGCCCAATATAAATCGCAATGGCAGCAAAATGGCAGAATGATAATTGATAATAGAATGCAACAATTGCCATTAATGTACATTCCAGCAGATCACACCTCTTTTGTACAAAGTGTATTTTCAAGAAATAACAACGAACGTGGAAAACAAGGTTTTACGGATGAGTTAACAAAACAACCTCGTAATATTGGTACTACAAATGGCAAAGATATATCCTGGAAGGATCGTAATATTGGTACTACAAATGGCAAAGATATATCCTGGAAGGATCGTAATATTGGTACTACAAATGGCAAAGATATATCCTGGAAGGATCGTAATATTCCAGATATATCCTGGAAGGATTACAGTAATTAGCCATTATTTTTTCTTTTATAAAATTATCTAGTATGTAACTATTTTAGATGATTGTGGGATCGTATGAGCAATATTCAGTGGTTGTCGTATGTTGCTGTATATCATATTTGTTTTTCGTTTATTGTTTTGTACATAAATCAGGCCGTTTGTTTTCTCTTTTATATTGTTTACATATGTTTTTTCGCGGCCTTTTATGGCTTTTTATGCGGTGTAGGCTTTGCTCATTGTTGAAGGCCGTACGGTGATATTTAGTTGCAAGCTTCTACGCCATTTGGTCTCTGGTGGAGGATTATCTCATTGGCAATCATACCACTTCTTCTTATTTATATAATATTAGACCCGAAATAGATTTTTAGAAACTTTTCAAGGTACTTTTAATATTATCTTGTCAGAAGACAGTACCACGAAACACGTGATTACCTTAATCAAGGGCATACGATACATTTTGATCCCACGGATGATTTTTTTGACAAAAATTTGCATACAGGCTATTTATCACCTAGAAAATTCAAATTTGCAATAAAAGATATACCTTCATTTGCTACTTTTAGAGATAAATGGGGTCAAAGTTTGAGACATTTACTCAAAATTTCTGTTTGCTGGACATTTCGATCCTTTGTACTAACACCTTACTTTTATTGTTTTAAAAGATAAAACATTTGGAATTTCTTTTTTTACATAAGTATGCTCTGAATTTGTGTAACAATTCTGCGGAAATAATTCAATATTCTTTAATTTTCTTGATTTAAAAAAACGGCAATTTTTGCTGAATATTTATCTAATTTAAAAAAAAACAAAATCATCGATGACTTGTTCATGAAAATTGGTACAAACATTCTTCATACATAATCAAGCCAAATGTCATTTTAAAAAAGAGGTGTCCATGTACTCGTTTTCAAGTAAAAGGTTTAAATCAGTCGATAGATTTATGTCAGAGTTTGACGTCGCTAAAAATAATCTTTAACATTAGCAACGTCATTATCTCTACTGTAACTGTAGCGTATGCCCCTAGGCTTAGCGTAACGTCGTTCATGCCCTAGCGGCCGGCTGAATACCGATGTGGACGAAGAACCGGGCACTTACTTCGGGTCAATTCTTTTCTTATAATAAATATAGAAGATTACACATGAGATCAAATGAGAACGTATTAGGAATACACTTGTTAATCATAAATATGAGAATATTCTCTGAAAATAATAATAGTTAATGTTATTTTATTTCTTCAAATTGCAGTGCAAAAGGCCGCGAATCTAAGATTTTGTGATAACTATGTAGCAAGCTTGGGGATAGCAACAAGAATAGTATCGAATTCAGTTTTACGTTTCTGGATAGCAGACGAGTTATGCGAAAAAAGTATGCCAGTACAGATAGTATGAAGATATGGAGGTGGAGAGTGTCTATAATTTCTATAATTTGTTCTGTATTCTTTATATTTTGGCACCCCATTATTCTCTATTCTTTATTTTTTTTGCCTATTTTCCTCTATTCTTTATTTTTTTGCCATTTATTCTGTACATTTTGTCAATTATTCTATATTCTGCAAACCCCATCCAGACCCTCATAGTATATATTACCGTTATGTCAATTATATATTGCTATTCAAACGTATTTAAACAATTTGGCAGAATTTTGTTGAAATTCATTGATTAATTTTAACTCAAGTACATCTTTATAGCAAATTTGGTTTTCCTGTACAGGCCCTTTTTTAATTCTTCCTTTGAAAAGCATTTTAGCAAATACGGTTTTCAATTTTAAACCAATATCAGACAATGGTATAGAATTTGACCGTATATGTGCACCCAACGTTTGACATCTGAGGTCTCTTTATTTTAGGTCCCGTTTAGTCATATAACTCCTCACGTGGTCAGGTATTTATACATCCCTGGCTTTCAAATTACTTGGGTTTGAGACCCACGAAATTTATAAATTGTCAATTTCATTTACATATTTCATATTTTTCATTTTAAATAAAAACTAAGTTAGAAATATAATTTCATTTACATATTTCATATTTTTCATTTTAAATAAAAACTAAGTTAGAAATATAATTTCATTTACATATTTCATATTTTTCATTTTAAATAAAAACTAAGTTAGAAATATAAAAACAAGTGTTATGTTCATGTTTTTATTTACTTCCAGTGATTTTTGATTATATCATGCCAATGATGACGAAAGGGATTTTTGGATTCGATTACGCGAAATGGTAAGTACTATAGAAACTGTAAAACTGAACGACGTGGGCATTTTGTTCTATAATCCATATCTTTATACGAATGTGAATAGTTTGTCAAAATGAAATATAAAAAGAAGTTGCGGTATGATCGCCAATGAGATAACTTTCCACAAAAGACCATAGGACAAGGGTCAAAGTATATATGTATCCGCAATTGATATTCTTCCACGAAATGTAGGCCGAACATGCTTATTGGCTTTTTTTTTACAATTGGAGTACTTTCTTTAATGAAACTTCGTCATAAAAGTACCCATTTAGGACTACAAGAAAGACAAAGCATGTAAATCAAGTCTTAAGGGAATTGTGCCTTTGATATGCTCGGGGCCAAAATATTTGAGAGTCTAAAAATTAATGAAAATTGAAGAGCAGATAAAACTAAAAAAGAACAAAACAAAATTGTCAAATCCGGGCAAGGAACCAGAGCTTTTTGCATAAGGGAAATATATTTGATTGTTTAATTTAAAATGATATCGAAAATTTTGTTACAGTAAATTTTGATAACCCAATATCTGGATTTTCATGCCAGTACTTACAGCCCACCAGAGAGGTATCGAACCAATAGTAGTTATACAAATGTAACATTAACAGTACCAACTGCGCATTTTCGACAATACATGTCTCTTTAGTGATGCTTGAGGTCAAAATATTTAAAAATCCAAAATTTATTAAAAATTGAAGAGCTGATGATAAAACCAAAACGGACAGAAAGTATAGACAAAGACGGGCAAGGAATCAGAGCAAATCCGTATTTTCATGCCAGTACCGAAGTACTGGCTCCTGGGCTGGTATCTGTACAACAATACATAGCTCTTCTTACAACTGAGTTTTGGTTTGGTTTAAGAATGTCGTTTTTATACATTTTCTGGAAAAGTACTAGAAATTTGTCAAAATTTGTCAAACTACCGGTTTTGACATTTATAATTATGTCATCTGTTTAGATATAAGCCATAAATTATGGTTAAAACCATGCTGCTGTGATGCTGTGGATTTTTGAATATACAAAGATAAGAAGATATGGAAGGATTGCTAATTAGACAATTATCCACGACAGACCAAACTGACGTAGAAGTTAGCAATTATAGGACACCACACGGCCTTCAACCATGAGTAAAACCCATACCGCAAAACAAGCTATATAAGCCCCGAAATAACAAATGTAAAACAAATCAAACGAGAAAACTGACGGCATCAATTATGTACAAAACAATAAACAAATATGATATCCAACAACAAACGACAACCACTGAATTACAGGCTTCCGGCTTGGGACAGGCACATACAGGATGTGGCGGGGGTAAACATGTTTGCGGGTACCTAATCCTCCCCTCACCTGAGACAGTGGTGTAACAGCACAACATAAGAACAAATAAAATAAGTTGAAAAGGGCTTTACTCATCATATTGATACAAAAACCAAAAACGTCTAATAAAACACTAAATACATAAATTATAGATCTAAGAGTACTCGCAGCTACTGAAAGGTAGTTTAAAGCCAATAACAACTAATAAAAAAATCATGTATCTTAGACTGAAATATGCATTTTAAGTTTATTCAGAATTTTGCTCCTTTCTCCTCCGAAATTTTTACCCTTTTCAGAACCAACCTTGTACCTCAAGGTAGTATTTTGGGTCCACTTTTATTCTTATAGTATGTATCTATTGGTATTAGTTTCGATTGTGAATTTTCATTATACGCTGATGATAAGAACTTTTTTTTTCTTATAGGGAACCGGAGGTAATATATGAAAAACTTGGAAAGGAACTTTAGTCTTGCAGTCAATGGTTAATTGATAATATATTATCCTTTCATTTTGGCAAAACTGAATGTATTGTGTTTGGTTCAAAAGGCAAACTTTCAAAAATTGGTAATTTTCGAGTCAGCTGCAATAGCCATATTATTCCAGCTAAAATTTGTGTAAAATACTTTGGCCTAAACGTATACAGATATTTGTCTGGGGAAATCATTGGCAGTAATATTTTTCAAAAAGTGAAAGTAAGACTAAAGTTCCTTTATAGATATGGTCGATGTGTATCAGAAAACTCTATTAAAAACTTTATATACTGATTTAGTGTAATGCCATTAAAGATAAGGAAAACAGAACTTCTGTAAATTTTAATGTCTTAAATAGTATTGCTGTTTTTGAATGTAGAAAATAGAGTCAACAACTTAGACTCAACCATGTATATAAAATATTTTATAACAAAAGCCCTTACTATATGCAAGGCAATTTCACTATGATCAAAGATTGTCATAATTGTTCAACATGATTTAGTGAATACAAATGTTTTATACCACCTATAAAAAGGCAACAGACTGACATTTTTTTATAATACTATTAAGGATTGGGACTTGTTGCCAAATGTTTTAAAGCCCCCAAAAAGTGTTTAATCTTTTAAATAGTATGTTAATGATCTTCTGTCAAAAAAATGAAAGCAAGGATTTTAATAGCAAATTTTTATTTTATTGAATGCTTGAATGTTCTATTTAACTATTATATTTTTAACATAATTAGTATAAAACCTGCTAATGTCACGACTTCTTATAATAACCATGATAAATATATTTTGACATGTTTAAGAATGTATCATAGATGGACCCCATTGGGAATACGACTTTCATTGAGGTCTGGAAGGGGGTCCTTCAATTCTGTATTCTTTAATTTTTTAGCCATATTTCTCTATTCTATGTATTTTTTTCCTGGTATTCTCTATTCTTTATTTTTTAGCACCCAAGTATTCTCTTTTCTTCTTCTTTTTTTTTTTGCTTATTTTTCTCAATTTTTATATTTTTTGCACTTTATTCTGCCCATTATTCTCTATTCTGTAAACCCCATCCAGACCCTCTTTCATTTGCAATCCAGATTAGGTATCAACAATTGTTTATATATTTATGATTTTAGTATGTTTACATGTCCGCTAATGTTTTATACATCTTTTGTATTGAATTATATTTTATGTTGATATTCGATCAAATAAACATGTCTATCTAGCTACCCTACATGGTTTATCGCATCTCCATAAACCTTTGTACTAAACTGTTATATCCTAATATGTAGATGTGCACGTGCGTAGGAGTTTCTAGTCCATTGAGTTTTTGTTAGTTATGCACGTTTTGACTTACAAATTTTGACAGAACCGACCTTGTCATCGCAACTCCTGCTGCATTTCGTCACAAAAAGAAACTTACTCATTGATAGATCCTAATATGCAGATGCGCATGTGTTTAGGATGTTTCGATTTATTGAGGAACGATAGATGTCTCCCACTAGTGTGAAGCTGTATGTCTCCCTTATTTATTTATATTCATTAATTATTGTAAATATATTGAGCTTTTTACCTTCTAACTAAGACAATGTGTTACAATCCTGTGTTTTACATTTCAGGATTACGTGAAATGATATTTTTTCAAACAACAGAAGATACGGGCCACAACAGATCAATATGTTCATTATTAAAATAGAACATGGTCGTACTTTGTTTGTTTTGATACGATGTAACAAGTTATACTATATTATTACCATATACTTAGAGTAAATAACTTATTATTTTTACAGTATGATAATACCATTAAATTTACGTGAATTCCTTTTTTTCCGAAAAGGTGCTTAGCAGGCTGATATGAAAAATTTATCAACTGCTTCCAACTATTATTGCATGCCTTTCCGTAACCTAATCGCATGGCATTCCGACGTTACTCGCGTATTCCGGAAACACCTCAATGCTTTTAGTGAAAAACATAACAAAGTAGGGTACGAAAAAAATATTAGGAACCAGGAAAATATATTATGTTAATTTCAAAACAAATGATACAATAAATCAATTTTTAAAGGGGCATTAGCTACGAGATATATATAAAAAAAAAAAATAAAATATGATTTTTTTTTTTTCAATCATTAACGAAAGTGAAATAGTGAAATGATAATTCGCTTTTAGCAGCCAGTTTAGTTCAATTTTGTCAAAATAAGCTAAGAAACATCGCTGATGAATTATTCACTTGCAAGTGAATAATTCGACCTCATTGAATCCGTATTCATGATATCTTCAATTTAATCCATTAGCTAGAGATTGGTTACGCATGCATTAGTCGTGTTCAGCCATTAAAAGGAAAAGAATGTCAACATTGAAAGTGAAACAAGGATGAACCATTTCGTTGACTGATTCGATCCTCAAAAAATCATTCATATACAGGTAAAAACGATGATTAACTTATTTGTTTAACTTATTTCATCAAATGAAACAGACCTAGAAAAGTCCAATTGCAAGGTCGCTATCTATTTATATTTATGTTTATGTTTATATCGGGTTATGTGACCGTCGGCAGTCTTCGGAGGTCATCTCGATGGTTAATTAGATGGCGTCTAGACTAAAATATACACGAAATGCTGATATGTACCGATTATCAGGTTGTGTGCATACTGATATCGTAAAATATCAGCTGCGAGTCACAATATGAAGCTTTTTGTCGAGTGAGCGCAGCGAACGAGTTCAAAAGGCTTCATATTGTGTCGAGCAGTTGATATTTTACAATATCAATATGCAGACAACCAGATAATCGATTTATCGGGTTGTATTTGCGTATTTTGCATGACAGAAACAAGTGTTTTCTTTGTTTCACCAGCAAACCGGAAGACGTCTTGATAAGTTCGGGTCAAACTTATTAACGTCGGTTCATACATTATGACGTCGTTGATATGTCCGAGTCAAAGTTATTAAGGCCGGGTCAACGTATTTGACGTCACAAAGCCGTGATATGCAATTAAATTAAGAGTTGAGCAGAGTGATATAGACAGTGGAACGACCGATAAATATATATATATTATCCGAGTCCGTGCATTGTTAATTGTTTATTTCAGACTTATTGTAATTTGGATATATGTTTTAGTATGTTATAAATCAAATATGAGAATTTAAGTCAAATTGGTGAACATGAATTTGACAGCTAATGCCCTTTTAAAGTTTCCGGCATAATTTAGCAAGTTACTTTACAAATGTTGACTTTTCCAAACAGTGTTCTGAATCATTATGTTTTATCGATTTTTTTTTATCGTCAATATAAAAAATATATTATACTGTTGTTTTTTTCCTCTGTTGAGGCATATGATAGAAAGATTTCATATCGGATGTATTACATTTGGCGTCCGTCGTCCGTAAACTTTTTATTTTTGAACTTCTACTTGAGAACCACTTAAAAGGATCAATATATTAAACTGTTCGCTATTTTTCTCCATTGTTGAAGTATATGATAAAAATATCATAACATGTCATTTTTCATATCAGATGTATTATCAGCCCTCGGTCAATGTCAGCCACCGAGCCTTCGGTTCTTATGCTGATATTGGACCATGGGCTGATAATACATCTGATATGAAAAATGTCATGTAATAATCTGATAGTATCAAATTTTTCATGTAGATTTCTTTGTAAAATAAAAATGCAATATTTTCCGATATTTTTATTGGTCTTCCTTTCCTATAAGTACATAAAAGTAGAACATTTCCGATGACTTTAAAGATATTGCATCTTTACTTATATGGTTCAGTCTGTTCTGTCTCCTTAAAGTTTGGCATACGATGTTATACGATGTTTGCACAGGAGCAGACGAGAGATAAACAAGTTGACGGACATTGACATTGCGTCCTTCACGGCATCAATGTTGCAAAAATATTTGGTACTTTATTTGAAAAAGGTTATTCCTTAACATAAGGGCAATAAATCTAAAGAATTTTTTTACCCGTATCCATGCGTATTGACTCTGTAATGACGATATAAAAGGGGGCGGGTTCTGCACCGATTTGTTATTGTGCGTGCTTTTCTTGTCTCTCTTTATTTCATGGATCGATAGAAAAACGGGGACGATTGAATATTTATTAGTAATTGGAAAACTTGCTTTAACCCCCGCCACATATTTATGGATCTGTCATAAGTTCGGAACCTCCTCGGTCCCCATTCGTGTTTTTTATTGTTTGTTTCTCTTTCTTCTTGTCCATGATGGAATTTGGTGCTGACTGAATATCCTTGAAAGTTCATTATTTATTCATTCACAGCGTGTAATGAATGACCTGGTCGGATTGAGCTTGACTTGAGTTGAATTCTAAATGTCTTTTTATTGTTTTAGTTTTGTTGTTGGGTTGTTGCATCATTGATATATATACATAACAACCCTTTCTGTTCACATGGTGACTTGCACGTTGACGGGGAGCAAGAAAAACACTGAAAAACCCACTAGTCGTAAACATAGAAACAAGAATCGTCAAATATCTAGTCTTATCTGACTGATCGTAAGGCACGTTGAAGTACAAACATTCAGTCACTGAGTATGAATAAAATTCCAACATTTGAAACAGTTTAGCCCGAAAGGGTAAAATTTTTAGCAAACCCAATGTTGAAAACAATCGAGCAAGGGTTCCAAACACAAGATAGTGTCTGATCGGACACACTATGGATTAAAAACAAATGAAAGACAAAGATCTACGACAAATTCTCTGTTATGTGCTACCAAAAAGTGAATCTGAAAATACAATTAACCTTATTTAAAAAAGAATTGATTTAAGACACACGTTAAGCTAACTAACTCGAATAAGCCACGAGTTTGTTGGCTAATTGAAATTTGTATAGGATACGAAAAAAAATTTCAAAGTACCGAAACTTTTTTTATGTAGCAAATGCACATTTCATCAAAAATTGTTATTTGGTAATGGTGCTCGAAATTAAATGTTATAGAGTCAAAACACCAAACGTTAAAGCAATAAAACTAAAATAGACAAAAAAAAAATGGTCGTCCTAAATCAAAAAGAATCATGCGTGCACGGAGATAACCATACGCCTGAAAATTTCTCAATTACCATATGTACAAAAGTACCTTCTTATGGACTTGTAACATCTTAGGGACTTGCAGACTAATTGACAATGGAATCAACACAGAGGTACAGCTGTTAAGTAATGCAAAAGTACAAGATTTCGAAATTCATTTGAGGTTCCATATACGCACCTCGAAAAGAGGTAGGGTCAATTTCCTCTGGGGTGTATTTCACTCACAGTTTAAAAATCGTAAAGTTATCGAAACTTACCGGAATTTGAATATTGCTTTGTCAAGTAATATCATTAATATATATATATATATATATATATCAAGAAATTTGTTTTGCATGCACACGTATAAAAATTGCGGTTTTTATCCAACGCAATCATAGGTTTGAACGTTGTTTTCAATTTAGACTTGTTTATATTTTTTCGTTTGGGCTTGTATTATATTTGCCTTAGGGTTTATATGATCCGTTCATCCTATTTTGACTCCTCAAAATTCAAGAGTCTATCCTAAATTGAGGTAAATTGTTGGGCTTTCCAAATACCGTTTCGATTCCTAACATCACTGAAGAGACATTATTTGTCGAAATCCGGATATGGTGTACAAAAACCTTTGCACCTTTTGTTTACGGTATATCATCTTTTCCGCAAGTTTATTTCTGTTTAGTATTAAATTTAAAATTAAGATCCATTTATCACATCGGTGATCCGTTTATTTGGCAATCGCCAATGGCAGTCAGCAGGGTTTAAGAACATTTGTTGTTCGACCTGTTAGTCAAATGCGTTTTTACTAGATAACATTTTTGTTCGCTATGGAGATTCCGTATATCGTCAGGTTATCGGAATTCCCATGGGGACTAATTGTGCACTACTTATTGAGGACCTGTTTCTGTATTGTTATGAGTTACAATTTATGACTAAAATTAGCAAAGACCCATCGAAACAATATCTGATTCAAAAATTTAATAACACTTTTAGATATTTAGATGATATATTGGCTCTCAATAATGACGACTTCAGTATGTACACTAAAGAGATTTATCCTGCCGAACTGACTTTAAATAAAGCTAATACCAACAATGAACACTGCCCTTTCCTGGATCTTGATATTTATATCTTTAACGGGAATCTTAATACCAAAATTTATAATAAAAGAGATGATTTTTCATTTCCTATTGTTAATTATTCATTTCTAGATGGTGACGTTCCCTTGTCACCATCTTATGGTGTTTATATATCTCAACTTGTTCGATTCGCTCGTGTATGTAACAACGTATTTGATTTCAACGAAAGAAATCTCTGTATTACTGAAAAATTATTACGTCAGGGTTTCCGATATCACAAACTAGTCAAAACATTTACTAAATTGTATCATCGGTACAAGGACGTCATTCGTAAATATAATTCAACATGCAGACATCTTATACGTTCAGGTAATTCACATCCAATATTTTATGGTAATATTCTTTACAAAGCACAAAAATGTCGGCATTCACCTCAAAAGCTAACCAAACCTTTAAACAGACTTATTCGGAAGGGATATAGTTACGATACTGTTGTCAGGTCATTAAGGATTGCATATTTTGGTATAATATTGATTCACTCATAGGGTCTTTGCATCGGAAATAAACACATTTATTCTAAAACCAGTTGTTGGCATGATACGGGTTATGTTTTTCTCATATATTTTATGATGGTATGATACTAAACCCCTAATGGGAGAGTTTGTACTTGATTTTCATATGATGAAGACATAATCTTTCAATCAGTTTAATTGAGGTCTGGAGCTGGCATGTCAGTAACTGCTAGTAGTCCTTTGTTAATTTATGTATCATTGTCGGTTTGCTTAGTTTCTTTTGTTACCTTTCTGACATCGGAACCGGACTTCTTTTTGACTGAGTTTTACTGTGCGTATTGCTATGTGTTTCTTTATTATACATTGGCTAGAGTTATTAGGGGGGGTGAGATCTCACAAAACATGTTTAACCCCGCTGCATTTTTTGCGCCTGTCCCAAGTCAGGAGCCTCTGGCCTTTGTTAGTCTTGTATGTTTTTGACTTTCAGTTCATTTATATGTTTTGGAGTTTAGTGTGACGTCAATTTTCACTGAACTAGTACACAATTGTATTTAGGGGCCGGCTGAGCACCACCTCCGTGTGCGGGAATTTCTCGCTGTGTTGAAGACCCATTGGTGGCCTTCGGTTGTTGTCTGCTCTTTGGTCGGGTTGTTGTCTCTTTGACATATTCCCCATTTCCATTCTCAATTTTATTTGATTGTACTCTTGGTATCTTCCTTCTGTGCAGGGGCCTCGGTGGCCCAGTGGTCTAAGTAGTCGAACAAATGTATCACTAACCAGTCAACACTGAGGTCGTGAGTTCGAAACCCGCACGGGGAAGGTGCACTCGACTTCAATCTTAATTGACTAGGATTGTCAGTTTTCCTACCGAAGGTCGGTGGTTCTCTCCGGGCACTCCGGCTTCCTCCACCAATAAAAACTGACTGCCACGAAATAGCAAAATAGTGTTGAAAGTGGCGTTAAAAACCAATCAATCAATCAATCAATCTGTTTACCTTTAAGTATTTTTCCTGAAATTAAAATTTTTACATACCTATCCCCATCCCCATCATTTTTGATCTAATGCGAATTCTATATAGATTCGCGTCTATTTTTAGAGATTTCCCCACGTTATACTTCAAAAATGAGATACCAGCATGAAAGTTGTAAATATCTGTATTATTGTTACTGTTTATTGGCCTCAATCTAAAGTTAAAGTCTTGGCTAATTTTCTCCTTTTTTACTACTGAAAGAAAAAGTATTGCATTTTACAATTGCAAAACGTTAAGGCGAAGAAGTGTTCCGGTATAATCGAAAATAAAATAAATCAAATCCAACGTTGACGTCAAGTGAATTCACCTTATTGTGACGTCAAATTTGTCAATGGAAACAACACTGAAAGATGAAGAAAAAGAAGAGGAGAAACAAAAAAGACGTACAGATAAAAAGACAGAAAAAGAAGAGGAGAATTAAAAAGACCGTAAAGATAAAAAGACAGAAAAAAAAACGTAGAAAAATAAATGTGAAAGATATACAAAAGAAATATAAAAGAAAAGAAGTCGTCTGTTTTACATGGAAAGAAAAGGCGGGATACCAGTAAGTATATCTATGAACAAAAGTAATAAATGTAAGAAACACACACAAACAATGTATACGTCAACGAGACACGTATGCAATAAGTCTGGATACAACAACAGGCGCTTTCGACATGGACCCCAATCCCACCTTTTATCATTTGATCTGTTAAAAATATTTTCAATTAAAATTCTTAATTCAACTGTTTTCCATATTTGCGTTCTAACTATTGATCATTATTACTGACACAGTCGCTTGTCGGGAGATAATTGTATGTGCCGCACCTCTGAAAAAGTAAAGGTGGGGCACATATGAATACGAATACGAATACTTTATTTCTCATAAAACTACAATTACATAGTTATAGAGAACATACATAAATATAACTATAAGGTACAATTACTACATGCATGTGCGAACAATACAATGCAATTAACTTGGAGGACTGACTTTCACATTTATAACTTTGATGAATTTACATAGTTTTTCTAATATTACAATATTTGATGAATTAAACAGTTGATCAAATTTATAGATATTAGGGTTTGACAAACAGTATTTGGGTAAAAATTTCTTTCTTTCCAACTTAAATGTTCCACAATTCATAATATAATGGTACTCGTCACCAATGTCGTTTGAGTCACAGAGACGGCAGATTCTGTCTTCTCTCGGTAAACCCTGCCACCTTCCAGACTCAATCGGCAAGTGGTGACTTCCACATCTATATTTGCAAAATGTATGAATAAATTTGTAAGGCAAAGAAGAAAAATATTTTTCAAATTGAAAATTCTGCAACAAAAGCAAAGCGATACTGCTGGAACTGGTCTTTGAGTTTTTGCTCAATACATTTTGTCACCCGTTTATCAACAAACTGTGCATTCCATATATTGGACATACTACAATTATCAAAAATATTTTTAATATATGATATCCACTTAGTTTCTATTCCGTTATCATTATAATATAAAAATACAAGTTTGTATAATATAACACAAATTTTACTTTCTTTTCCATTAAGAAGTCTACTCCAGAAATTAACCATTCGTAATTTTACAGACACGGTAATGGGGTATCTGCCAAGCTCTGCATACACAATGAAATTTGGAGTAGACTGTTTTAAATGTAAAATCATTTTACAAAATTATAAATGTACACGTTCAAGTATATCTATATTTTCAAAACCCCATATTTCTGATCCATATAACAGTATTGGTAAAACCATTTTGTCAAATAAATCAAGTTGACATTCTATTGACAAATTGTTTTGTCTACCTTTTTTTAAAACACTATACATAGCTTTTGTGGCTTGCTCTTTTAAATATTTTTTATTGGATAAAAAGGATCCACTTCTAGAAAATAAAATACCTAAATATTTGTATTCTTTTACAATTTCAATATCGTTGCAATTTACTGTGAACTTGAGATTTGCTGGCATTCTGCCACTCGAAAAGATCAAAACTTTAGTTTTATTTGTATTTATTTTTATTTTCTTTTCTCCACAATATTCGTAAAAGGTATTTAACATTTATTGTAAATCGATGCTATTTTCTGCTAATAAAACAGTATCATCTGCATATAAAAGTAGAAATAATTTCAAAAATACTGACAGCTCATTTTCGATATCTTGTGATATAGATTTTAAGCCAGTTATATTTTTCTGTTCAAAAAAAGTTTGAAGATCATTTAAAAATATAGAAAACAAAGCAGGTGAAAGGTTTTCCCCTTGCCGTAGCCCCATCTCACAAGGGAAGAAATCGGATTTTTTGCCATCATGTATAATACGAGATTTGGCAAAATCATACATATTCTGAATAACACGAAAAAATATCCCATTTACTTCATTCTGTAATAATTTGAACAGAAGTAAATTTCGCTGTAAAGATTCAAACGCTTTTTCAAAGTCGATAAAAGCACAATGTAACCTTTTCTTTCCCAATTTCAATAATTCAAATAAAATATGTATAGTAAAAATGTGTTCAGTCGTAGAATAATCCCTTCTGAAACCTGCTTGGTTTTCATTAAGTATACATAATTCATCAAGATAATTACATAATCTTGTGTTCAATATTGAGGTAAAAAGTTTACCCAGAGTAGATAATAACGTTATAGGCCTATAGTTTTGTGGATCATTTTCAGAGCCTTTGTTTTTAAACAATGGAATTACATTTCCTATTAACCATGCCTTTGGCAACAATCCTGTGTCAAAAATAAGATTAAATAGATATACATGGTGTCTTCCCGATTGTCCCACTTTTTGAAATTACAGGTAAAAAAGTAATGAAATTTTGTGGGACAATCGGGAATATGTTTGTGGGACAATTGGGAAGTTTAAATGTGGGACAATTGGGAATTGTTTTGATAGTGATTAATTTGTTTTTATAGTGTGTTGCAGTTAATTAAAGGTCACTAAACAATGTAACTTATAAAATATGAAAAAAACATGAACAAATAATAATATTTACATATTTCATTTTGCACATAGTAGGTACAATTATAGTATCATCAAACACGGAATATAATATGAAGTCATAAAATTTTAGTCTTAGATGCATATTTTTTTTAATTAGTTTTTATTGGCTTTGAACTAGCTGTCAGTAACTGCGAATACTCTCAGACCTGTTACAGTACTCAGTGTCTTTGTTGTGGTGATGCATAAGTAGCCGTCCACGTTCACTCTGTGTTTTTGTTAGATGTATTTCTGTTTGTACCCATCTGATGAGAAAAGCCTTTTTCAACTGATTTTTATAGTTTATTCTTATGTTGTTCTGTTTCAACACTGTTCCAGGTTATTGGGAGGGTTGGCGCCTTCAAATAAGTTTAACCCCACAAAATTCTGTATGTGCCTGTCCCAAGTCAGGAGCCTGGTATTCAGTGGTTGCCGTTTGTTGCTGTGTAACATATTTATTTTTCGTTCATTATTTTGTACATAAATTATGCCATTAGTTTTCTCGTTTGAATTGTTTTACATTTGCCATTTTGGGGTCTTTTATAGCTATGCGGTATGAGCTTTGCTAATTGTTGAAGGCCGTATGGTGACCTATAGTTGTTAATTTCTGTGTCATTTGGTCTCTTTGGGAGAGTTGTCTCATTGGCAATCATACCACATCTTCTCATTTTTTATGGAAGTCTGTTTCTACTTTATAGTTGGTGAAGAGTCCTGTTGACTGCAAAAGCAATGGGAATATTGGAAAAACAACCTTTAATAGTGATTCTTGGAAAGGCTGATCTGGCAAAATTATAGACATCAGCTTCGTAACAATAAAGACAGTTGTTGGGTTCAGGTGAATCTGACGTTGGGTGTAAGCAGTCTTCAATAGTGCAGAGAATGTTGTATTAATGTCCTCCGACTTCCCTAGTAAACAAGTTCATGTAGAGTGTAGAATGTAAATGAGTTTATACCTTTTTTTTGAAATTGCATGCATTATTTCTAAATTTATTCAAAAACTTTACAGAGAAAAAGGAATTAAAATTACGGTATTGACATTTGTTTTATGAATAACGTAACATTGTAGATATATTTCATAAATCAGAAATATTATATTTGTTTAATCAAAAGTGCATTAATCTAATTATTTAAAAAACATTTTTTTTAATACTTTTATAAAATTAATATTAAATGTGCAATAATTATTTCTTGTTTTTTTAGCAAAACAAACAACAGTTACCTTGTTTATCTAAGAACATTTTATTCATAAAATAATGTGGGACAATCAGAACTTTTCATGTGGGACAATCAGAACTCTAAAATTTTAAAAAGTGGGACAATCGGGAATAAACCATATACATAGACATCAATAACAAAAATTCAATAGACGAACATATATACTCATTTACAATAAGATCATCACCAGGTGTCTTATTATTTTTCAGGCTTTTTATGGCCTTCAATATTTCATCTTTAGTGATACATTTGAACAAGCATTAAGAAATACATTTGATGAATTTTCGTTAACATCATTTTCTAATTTGTATCGGTTTTCTGTTTCGTTATTTTTATTCAGATCCTTAAAAAGGAAAACAAATCTTTAATATTAATATCATTTTTTTTCCTTCGTCTACCTCGATTTATAATTTTCCAAAATTCTTTCGGGTTTTTTGTTCGTATCTTTTTCATTTTTGAACGTAAATTAACATTAAATGATCTAATATTTTTATCCATGGTTTTTTTATATAGAGTCTCACTACGTCCTTGAACATGCGTGAACCATATCGTTTATATAACCTTTTTGATTTTCTAAACGCCCTCCTTTCCCGACCTTTTTGATTTTCTAAACGCCCTCCTTTCCCGTCGGCATTCTGTGTTAAACCAATCGCGGTGATTTTGTTTCCCTCCCGTGAAATCATATCCATAAGTTTTCTGTACGAACTCCCCAAATGTATTTCTAGCAGAATTGAGTAAAACATCTCTTATTTCATTTACAATTTCATCAATAGTATTTTTATCAACACTTTGAACATTTTCATTTTTTTCATAATAAAAGATAACAATTTAGATATACTTTCTTTGTCAATATTGTCTTTATATTCATTAACTTGATCATGATTCCATTTCCCAATATATGTATTATTTTCACCAGATTCTACATTTATATATACATTTGATTGCTTAGTATTACTACAATTGAGTACTAATTCAAGTGGACAATGGATATCAGAATATAAATTGATAAAAGGTAGAACATCAAAATATTTAACTAAATAAAATACATCTGCTGTACTTATTGCATAATCTACGACACTTGTATTCTTGCTCGTAGGTTTACCTTCTTCATCATTTCCTATCCGACCATTCATTATATACATGTTGTTATTCTTACAAAATTGTATAAGTTTTCTACCGTATGTGTTTACACTTAAATCAACACTGTGTCGTTTCCTTTGAATACCCAATTTGTCTAAGATATTTACATTACTAAATTCATTAATATCAATTAAATTCTGTGCTAAGAAATCATCTGTGTCTACTAAATCATTAAAATCTTGTAAACTCGCTGTTCTACTATTAAAATCACCTAGAAGACAAATATGCTTATTTGTTCTTTGTAACTCAAAAAATTCTAATTCTATATCTGAAAGTGCATTTTCTGATGTATATATAGAGTTTTCAGGGGGTATGTAAATTACTCCAAATATAACACTACTTTTTAAGTCAAATATTTTTTCGTCAATACTAAACCATTGAACAAAAGGACTTATGAATTGTTTCTAATCCAAGCTTGTGATAGTAATGAAACACGGCAAATAAATGGACCACAAGCTAAAAAGAAGTAAGAGTTTATTTATATTGAAAATATCTATCAGACAGGAAATAATAAACGGAGATCTACGCCCACGTAGTCAGAGAATACAACATACATTTCCGATAAAAGACAATAATAGTGTATATACAAGTTTTGAATAAATTCAGCATAGATTATTCAAGATCTTTTATATTCTATCAAAGTTCTTGAAAGGAAAAAAACATTAAGATAAAACATATTTTGACAGGGTTCCTGATTTGGGACAAGAAAATAAACAATTGGCGAGGTTAGGCGATTTTTTTTAATATGGAATACCAAAATATTGCATCAGAATATAATTTTGAAGAAGCCTAAGAAACATGAAGAAATGTGGTTCCCGCATTTCTGTCTTCTTTCCATCCTATAATCATTGTTTTAGGACCGATTAATTAAACTAAAATTTCCGCGTTTGATTATGTACAATTTGTAATACAAAGGAGATATTTGATTATATTTTAAAAAATGACAAAATTTTCAACAAAAAAATACATACATGCCTTAAAAGTAACCATGGTATCCAATAGACTATTATCATATTACCGACTTGTGACTCCAGAGTATATAATGTTTTGACAGGTTACCTACTATGTGGTACGACATTCTGGGAATCGGTCAAGTAAGAGCAACTAAAAGTAGTAAAACCAACCTTACAATCGGTACAATTTGTGGGAAAATTATTAACTGTTTTCCGATGATTTTGTCGTGTATAGAAATCATAAACCAGTCATATAACTAATGTATCAAATAATGTAATTTTTCGGACTAAGCGTTGTTTAACAAATCTGCAAAACATAGTTCAAAAATTTTACAAATTTATTCCCCTCTTGTTTGAACAGATAATCAAGTGCACTTATCGTTTTATTGTATACTTAAAAGAAAATTATGATTCGATACTTTAAGCACTTGAAAGTAAATAATAAAGTAAACAAATGCGTAGTTGTATATCAGCCTTGCAAAAACATTAAATGATGGGCTAAGAGTACACACTGGTACGGGAGTTTGACTTTCCAGATAAATTGTTACTCCCCAAAATATCATTAATTGTATCTTGAATTGTATATTGTTTATCATTATGAGTTAAATAGACAACAGGATATATAGGATAAAAGATAAGACTCAAAAGAAACAGCATCGATGATCGAAATGGCACACTTGAACCAAAAAAGACTCTCTAAGCAAGCTATGTATTAAAAACAAACGTTTAAAAGTCTTATCAAGATGAATTTGAACATGATCTCATACAAGTGAGAGGTTTAGCTAGCTATAAAACCAGGTTCAATCCACCATTTTCTACATAAGAAAATGTCTGTACCAAGTCAGGAATATGACAGTTGTTATCCATTCGTTTGAGCTTTTGATTTTGCCTTATATCTAGAAATTGACTATGAGGGTCGTTTGAAAACAAAACTTTACGACAAAAGAGATGATTTCAGCTTCCCAATTGTGAATTTTCATTTTTAAACCAAGAGTTCCAAATGGTGAAGTTGAAATCATCACTTTGTAAATTTTACGGACGCCATCACGAGTTGGTTGACCGTTATGGAATATCCGTTTCACAGATGATATCGGATATGTTCCTTATGTCGTAACTACAATCCCGTTCCCTTTTCACGAATGTGACCTACCGAATTAGACTACTTACCCCTATTTTTTTACCTATTGTTTTTGTTTGTTTTGTTCACACATCGTTGTCAATATAATGGAATTTGATGCGACTGTCATACAAGTGAGAGGTTTAGCTAGCTTTAAAACCAGGTTCAATCCACCATTTTCTACATAAGAAAATGCCTGTACCAAGTCAGGAGTATGACAGTTATTATCCATTCGTTTGATGTGTTTGAACTTTTGATTTTGCCATTTGATTGGGGACTTTCATTTTTGAATTTTCCTCGGAGTTCAGTATTTTTGTGATTTTACTTTTTTCAACATAAAATACGTATTTGGAATCGCTGTATGTAATCAATACTTACGTCTTAAACGTGTAAAAACATGAACATGATGAAGAAGCAACGAAAGACAGTGTTCATAAATGCATTACATTTCACCTTTTGAGATTTCTGATGTTCTCAAACGTTTTACATTTTTGGCTTTTCAAAAATGTTTTCATATGTTCTACATTAATTTCGATCTCCAAATATGGATAAACTGTTATATATCATACAGTAAAGTTTATACCGATTTGAAGGTAAACAAACACCGTACAATTATTATTTTAGCTCAAAAGTAATAAACGTTAAATTAACATAAAACTTATGACGATGCATACTCTTGAAATTTAAAATAGAATCCGATAAGGGTTATCGACTATTTTGTTACACCCATAATCACCATTGTTTATAAAGTAATTGGTTTTTCGTCTATTCTCACTGCTCATGCATAATAAATACTGTATATATCCAAGATAATTCAAGTTCATGAATCTGGAAACTTGACGCTAGGTAATAGTTGCTTTGCGTGCAAAAAAGAAAACAAAATTAAATAAATGATGCTTCGGAAAGTCTTCAAAGGAATTAATAATGAAGAAATGTATGGAAGCACGGCGACTTTGTTTGTTTCTCAATCAAATATTGGAGATACTCGCGGGACACGTTTTTTGCGTCAGGAATCTATTCTAAGGAAAGAAAATAAAGCGATTGTTCATGAACTCTTAACTAATTTTAATATGGAAAATGCTAAACAGAAACACATGGAGGCCAAAGTTGTGGAATTTTCTTGGGATTCTAATGAATTTAGTTTCGATTCGTAAGTTTTTTAAATACAAAGGACTTTTTGAACCCTCCTAAGATATTAATGAGATATTTTTACATTTGATGTCATATAGCTCATTGCGACCAAAATATAAGACCAAAGTTGTGTTATACGGTACTTTGTTTTGCGTGCTGGTTGGTTTTTGATGGTCTGAGAAAATTGTGATTTACTAGGTATGATTTTCTGAGGGGAGGTTTGAATTAAATCATATATGTCCAAAACCATTATTTAGACAATGAAAACATTTTATTCATGTGTGTTTATAGATGTAATTATTGGACAAGATTGATGTTAATGTTAAAATGGCATGTGCATGTAGGTTATAGTAAGGGTTATTTAGATTTGTGTTTTTCGAACTGGCTGGTCGTTAATTAGGTTTTGAAAATAACCAAACGCAAAACTAATTAAAAAAGCAGACATTGTCTTAGTGGAAATACGTGAATTTTACAACTGAAATTTTGAATGATATATCAACAATCATGATAGTCCAGATTTACACTTCACAAATTCAACCTTGATTTGTCAAATAAACAGTTATCGAAATTCATACTAAATGTTCTCTCTGTTTTGAAAATTGTATTGCTCAGTGAACATTGAAATTTCCATTACTTCACTAATCAATGTTGAATTTCAGCATGTCAGAGGCGAAAAAAAAATTGGCTCTAGACGATAAATGTAGTTGTTCCTTAAAAATCGCCAACTAGTAGTCAACACGTATTATACGATTTTAAACTGATATATTACGGTCAAAGGTTTTATACATATATCAACATTATATCAGATTAACTCCATACTGCGATCATTTTTTTATAGTGCACTGTCCACTGCGAAAGTTCGTTCCAGACTTCAACACTTAATGGGAACAGATGTCATCAGAATAAATGACAAACACTATATAGATAAAATGTCACAAAAGCTCGAAATAGAACAAGAGGTAAGAGGTGAATGGTAAGGCGCCGTCTCTCTCTCTCTCTCTCTCTCTCTCTCTCTCTCTCTCTCACACATATCTTGAGGGCTCCGTGGTCAGTACATATTTGGTTCATCGATATCATACAATTCTAAATAATTTAATCCATGTAAATAAATAAAGCGACGAGGGACGTGCAATCAATAAATCAAGAGGTTTTAAAATAGCACGAATTAACTAATCGATATGAAGTTAATGAATTTTTTAAAATATTTAAATAAAAGTATTCCCAACTGAAATCATTCCGCATCAATAGCATCTAAAGTTCATAGGCAAACATTTCCCCCTTAAACATGGATCATTTAAAGTCTACACCGTAGCCTTTGGTTACTTCTCCATTTTCAAAATACAAAGGAATTTCTACTCTACTAATTTAGCTGTCATTAGTTTCTTTGTGTCTGTGCTATGTCTATTTGTCGCAACGTGTGTGTGTGTGTGGTTGGGGGGGGGGGGGGGGGGGGGGGGGTAAAGAGGTTCGTAGCTCATAATACATAATCCCATACTTATTACTGGGTCATTTCCTCATGTGGTGGTATGTTAGTCCACGGGGTCATAGGCCTAGTTACATAGAATTTCGGTACTGGCATGATCATAAGGATATTATTCTAAGGAATTATGCAGTGATAAAACATGAAAATTATATGAAATTAATAAGGAATGCATTTCCCTAATAGCTCTGATTCGTTTTCCTGGTGGGTTTGGCTATTATTTCGGTTATATCAGTTTCTACAACACTTACTCCGTATATGACCTCGAGCATCACTAAACAGACATTACTTGTCTAAAATGCAGATCTTGTGAAGTAAAATTTAAACCATTTAATGTTATTATGACTTTTCTCAATCTGAAAGTCATATTTGAGACCCTCAACACTGATCAAATGCGTACAACTCACTGCAAGTTTAAAATACTCTAAAACAAAATCTATGTGGCTAGTAGAAAACTGTTTTATATATGATTTTTTTAACGAAAATTTAACTTACAGCATAAAAATATTATTTCTGAAACACGTCAGATGTGCAACGAAATTGGTGCAATACATTTATATTTATATCACATCTCATCGAATTTAGCTGACAGTAAACTGAAAACCACTTATATATGAAATAGAAACTATAACTGCATTTTGTACAAACTAAAAACATACGTTTTTTTTTTATAGGATCGAATATTAATGTTTTTCGTGAGCAAATGCACTTTACAATTCTGCAAAATTTTTTTTACTTGAATTAAAGGTAGAAGTATGCAAAAAAGAGCAAGCTTTAGAGGATGCAGAGGATGAACGATTACGTAGTCTCCAGTTGAGTGGTGTACTCCCTAAACCCAAACAGGCATCGCTTCAAGTGAAGCCAAAACGAGAGCATATGAAACTATCGCAACAAAAGGTTTGAATTATTTCAAATAAAACAAGTATTACAGTGATGGGATTTTGACCTTGAAAATAAAAAAAAAATAATAAAAAAAGAGGCAGAAGATACCAAAGGGACCAAGATAAAGCTTGACTGATGTCATAATAATCTTATTTTGGATGTAACACGTCTTCTGATTGGCTGAAAGTTTGTTGTTTATCAGCTCATAAACGTAATTTTGTCATGTGACCGTGACGTCATCAACGTTTTTTTTTCATGATTTACTCCTTAAAAATGGAATTTAGAATAAAATTATAAGGAATAACTGTAATGTGTTTTCTGTCTATTCGAAATAACCTCAAAATGTGGTGCACACTTTTAAATAACCCACTATGCTGGTTATTCAGTGTGCACCACAATTTTTTATGTTTTTTCTTCATAGACAGAAAAAATATTACAGTCATTCCTTTAATAAAATCTTAACGGCAAACGTTGTAAAGGATCTTGATGAAACCATTTTCAGAAAACTTCATGGGACGTGACACATTATATTTTGTGACACTCTGATAATAACATGAAGTTTTCGGGAAACGATTTCATCAAGATCCTTTAATGTTTCATTGACTGCATATTTGCTATCTTTGGCGGTCCTAGTGATTAACAGACTGGTTGTATAACAATGGGAACAAACTGTGCTCCTTTTCTTGTCGAATTGTTTCTTTACTCGTATACAATTATAGGGGATTCTGTTTAACATCATATTATTCCACGTCTAACTTTATAGTTAATGTTCGTATGTAAACTGAATATTTGAATTATGATTAAATGGAGATTTAGGTTTGCGTAAATAAGACAGAATATCAAAGACAGACAAAATTCTAAGGAAGCCGCTATGGCCAAATGAATTAAACAGGAAAATAATAACAAAAGTTCACTTCTTCAGGCGGACTGTAACCTTCTGAGCTAGTACATTAAAATCAGTTCCGCGTTTTCTGTCTAATAGTAAGACGTGTTCATATTCATATTATATTTACATGATCTGATATGTATGATACATTGGAAACTAGATGTTAAACACCAATGCACCATCATGCTTTATGTTTAGTATGACGTCCATTTTCACTGAACTAGTACACATTTTTGTTTAAAGGGCCAGCTGAAGCCCGCATCCGGGTGCGGGATTTTCTCGGTGTGTTGAAGACCCATTGGTGGCCTTCGGCTGTTTTCTGCTCTTCGGACGGGTTGTTGTCTCTTTGACACATTCCCCATTTCCATTCTCAATTTTATTTATGGTAAACATGTGATTGAAGAATAGGTGGTTATTGAATGCAAGTTCTAAGAAGCTTACGTACTTCAAAATGCTGTGGCCTTAATGTTTGCATTTACAGGGAACTCAGCTTGGCCTACCTAGTATGTATGTCCTATTACCAAAAATTCTACAGATTTGAAACTAAGTCAATGTTTTCTTGTGAAGTGCTTAACAAAATAAAAGCTTTATGTCCGCACTGATTTACGCTCACAGCATTGAATAATATTATGTATAATTACAGAAAAGTAAAAATAAACTAGTTGAAGAAAAAAACGAAGAAAATGCAATTTTGATAGAGGAAGAAACCGCTGATCAAAGAGTAAGTATGCATACATATGCCACCCGTTAACAGTCCAATGTCTTAGAATATCAAATATGATACTGTTATCTGCAGCATAATATAAATAATGAGCGAAAATGTCTGTTTTTCATCTGCAGCATAATACAAATAATGATCGAAAGTGTCTGTTTTTTTCATATCAGAAAGTGACGATACTGTAGCAACTACTACTATAGCACCAACTATAATTCATACTATTGTTTGACATAATTAGAATGATAATATGAAAATAAGGATATGTGGTACGACTGCTAATGATACAACTATCACAATCAGAGACCAAAGGATGAGTATATAAACAACTGCAGGCACCGTATGGCCTTTAACAATGAGCAAACCCCATATTGTAAAATAAGCTATATACGACCCTAGCATGTCAAAATGTAAAACACAAGAGAAAACCAACTGCTTTATTAATGCTTAATAAAAAAATCAACGAATTTTTTAAAAGAATATTTCATTTTCTTACAAGAAGATATGTCTATATTTTTAACATGCTGCTGGTGGACTATCAGAGTCCCCGAGTGTATCATCACCTCAGTAGTCAGTACTTCGGTATTGGTATGATTTAGAACAAACCTTTTTTTAAATTTTCCGTTTATAAATTTATAAATTATTTAAAAGAAACTAAGGTTTCAACTCCCTCAGGCAAATTTGAGCTTAAATGAATTTGGATGTTATTTTTAAGTCCTTTTTGGTTATAAAACTCTACAAATGTTTTGGTCCCTATACATCCTTGGCTTTCAAAAATTCGGTTTTTGAGCGTTTCTGATGAAGGTAAATCCAGAAAAGCGCTTCGGACGCTTAAATTTATTAAGTCTTGTTTTCTATTTTTGAATGCACTACATAATTGTTTGGTTGCTCAGATTTTATTCTTCTGTGTTATTTCCACTGAAAAGGCCCCGTAACAGCTGTTTACATTGAAATGTAAAAAAAAAATGATCGTCTTAAAATATCTATGGAGTACCTTGTTACATATTTAGGATATGACAACTCAAGTTGAAGTAATAGAACAACCAAACAAAGACGATAGAATAAAATCAAAAGTTACCAAAAAGGGGCAGTGTTTAACCAAAGATCACAAAGGCGACTTGAAAAATACAGATCAATCCAGTCACACTAGTGAAACTATCAGTAGTAAAGAAACAGAGGTATCTGCTTCAGAAAATTGTTTTATATAACATTTTAGCAGATGATCGAGTTATTTTTACCACATTTTATTTTATTGACAATAATATGACCAGAAAATACGATTTGTATTCCCTAAAATTTATATTTTGATCATTATGCCCAATTATCTCGATTCAAATAAAGTAAACATGCTTACTAGTTTTTAATAAATCTGTTGCAATGTTAGTTTATCTAACTTTCGGCAAATAAGTCATTGATGCATTCTGTAAAAATGATAATATATACATGTGCATTCACTGACATTTCCGCAGATCCACAACGTTTGACCATAACTACGGAAATCCATTCAGGACCTCCATAAAATAATTTGAATTCGTGATCACGAATTTTAGAAAATTGTGTTCACAGATTTATCGATTTTGTAATTCGATATCACTGAATAAATTCGTGATAACGAACCAGAAGAATTATTTATCCCTTACTTAAATTCGTGATCATGGGTTGAATTCGTCATCATACATTGATCCGACTTGTATTTATAGAATAACTAATCGAAAAATTCAAATATAGAAAAAATATTCAACGAATGACCGAACAACACATTAATTCACGAATGCGCGTAGCGCATGAGTTAATATTATCAGTGTTGTTCGGTTACAAGTTGAATATTTTTCAATATTTAAATTCTTTTATTTTGGAAATGCAAGAAACTATATCTTTCACAATTTGTGTCGATGCAACGTCATCGATAACGTCTTGACAACACATATTGTTGTATGATGTCAGAAGAGTAAAATTATCGAGTTTATTTCACTTGTGAAATTATCGGTTTTTTATTTCACTGGGAAATCATGGTAATTCATTGCAACCAATGTAATAAAACTGATTGAATTCGTTTTCACGAATTTAAGAAAGCGTGATCACGGAATAAAATAGTTATCACCAATATCTTACAAGGAAAGACGGGAAAGTCTACCACTATTTACTAATTATAATTTACAATGTGATGTTTTGTTGCTGAATCATAAGCTGATATCATTCACCCCATATGTGCTTTCTTTCATATAATTATATATGAGTTCAAAACACTGGAACTGTCTAGTCACTTATTCAATGTACGACAATCCATTTAGTATATGTAAAGATTTATATAAACTAAATGATACTTTTTTAATATTCAGATAAAGAAAGAAGTGAAATACAACAATGGTACATATACGAAGCAAGAAAATAAAAAAAGAACTCCAGAGAGAACATCTACTGGAAAATTTGCTCAAAAAGAGACCCCTTTTGTCAAGGAGTTGCGTGAAACAGAGGTATTATATGACGAAGACATAATCTTTCAATCAGTTTAATTGAGGTCTGGAGCTGGCATGTCAGTAACTGCTAGTATTCCTTTGTTAATTCATGGTGATTATTGTCATTTTGCTTAGTTTCTTCTGTTCTATTCTAACATCGGACTCGGACTTCTTTTAAACTGAGTTTTACTGTGCGTATTGTCGTGTGTTTGTTTATTTAACATTGGCTAAAGGTATAGAGGAAAGTTGAGATCTCTCAAAACATGTTCAACCCCGCAGTATTTTGGCGCCTGTTCCAAGTCAGAAACCGTTAGCCTTTGCTAGACTAAGTCTTGTGTTTTTTTTTTATTATTTTGGTTCATATATATGTTTTGAAGTATAGGGTGGCGTCCATTTCGCTGAACTAGTCTAAATTAGTGTTGAAGGGCCAGCTGAAGTCCGCCTCCGAATGCGGTATTTTCTCGCTGCGTTTTGCTTGGATTGTTGTCTCTTTGACACATTTCTTTCCTGTTTTCTATATCAATTCTAGTAGTAATATTTAAAAAAAAAATGAAGAATGAGAATATACTTAGTGACTCTAATGTTATTAGGACTTAAAGCCAAGCAAAAATAAACATTCTTACACAATATTCCTTTATAAGGGAGGCACGAAAGTTCGTCGTGAAATAGCTTTATCGATTGTAAAAACTCATCAAAGATACTAGGCTTTTAATTATGTACAACAAACGCGCGTTTCATCTACATAAGATTCGTCAGTGGCGCTCGCATCAAACAATTGGAAATGAAGTCAAAATCAAGCATTAACTTGAAAAGAATTAAAAATAAGAAAATTCCGAAATACGGTTAAGGCAATTTATATACGTCTTCTCAGTTTATCTCGTAAATTTGTTTCATTTGAAAAACCGTCAAAAGCGTGACGTTTTTCAACTATTCAAAGTTAAAAACTTTATAACTGTAATATCAAGCTGTCTTGAATTAACACACTGATTTTCAGTGTACGGTATTATAATGTCATGTTTTAATTACCTAATAGTTATTGAAAAACTGGTCATTATCGTGATATATGGACTGCCCAAAGGACAGTGGTATTGACTCAGACAGCGATAATGACTGAGCCGTAGGCGAGGTCATTATCGCTGTCGCAGTCAATTCCACTGTCCTACGGGCAGTCCATGTATCACGATAATGAACAGTTCTTCAATAACTATCATGCATATTTCATTGAGGAACCATGTTTTTAAAAATTCTCATAAATTCAAGTTGTTCAAAGCAAACTCGAGTTATTGTACGATTTCTATAGGAAAGATAGTGATAACTATAAGTCACTGTCATTCATTTAAGTGCAATTTTTCAGTACATGAAAACAAAATAAAGTTTTCTATGATTTTATAATTAACGAAAACATTTGGTAAACAATTCAACAACTTGAATTTAAAATTGAAAACAGGAAACTGTTTTATTAAAGGGACATCTCTTTAAACAGAGAAACCACGCCCCACCGGTCATTAACATGTAAAAGTCTGTTGACGACCGGTTTTCTGGTTCGTTTTTTTCTGTTAAAGACCGATAGAAATTATTACTGAGAAATAAAGAATGTCATGGCCCCTTGTTATCCAATAAGAGAAGCTTATTCTTAACCGATATGAAATAAAGAGTGTTAAATGTCATATGTGACTGTGTTAATAGTTAATAGTACCAAAGGTACCAGGATTATTATTTAATACGCCAGACGCGCGTTTCGTCTACATAAGACTCATCAGTGACGCTCAGATCAAAATAGTTATAAAGCCAAACAAGTACAAAGTTGAAGAGCATTGAGGACCCAAAATTCCTAAAAGTTGTGCCAAATACGGCTAAGGAAATCTATTCCTGGGATAAGAAAATCCTTAGTTTTTCGAAAAATTGTAAGTTTTGTAACAGGAAATTTATAAAAATGCCCATATAATTGATATTCATGTCAACACCGAAGTGCTGACTACTGGGCTGTTGATACCCTCGGGGACTACATTGTTTCAAGTTTTATTCATTATGCAAACGTATAATCAAATTGACATTTCCATCCTTTATGCAAACGTTCCTCATTCTTGAATTGAAGACACATTGTAATAAATTTCCCTAATTTGTTTCGTTAAAAGCATTAGTTAATGTAAATACTCATGTTTTGTTTTAGGGAGAACAAATTATAGTTTGAAAAAAAAAACACAAAAAAAAAAACTCCTGGGAATACAAAAACCTTAGTGTTTCAAATAATTCAACATTTTAAAAACAGTAAATTTAACCTTTCTTCGACGTTAAACAACCAACAATCATTCATTTTAACCTTTCTTACATACAAAATAAGGTAATTAGGAAATGTAATCCTGTCTTAAAATCAAAAGTAGATAAATAGAATTTCTTTCGGTCTTCCCTTTTCTTAATGACATGAGTAAAACTACGAACTGGTTCGAAAGAGCCCATAGTCTGTGGATACCATATCTTCGAACTTGCCAATGGTAATTCTCGTAAAAATCAAGCACCTTGAAATTCTGGTTTCAGAGTTTAATTTGTTAGAATTGGTTTCCTAAAACAAGATATATGTATTGACGTTGGGTTATTCCTTTTTTATGATACGAATTAGGTGTAATTCTCACAATATGTCTTTTAGTTTGAATGAGGTAATATTTGCGTCTAAGCTGGACAAATGGAGGCGAGACATGATTTTTGAGAAAAAAATATATTTAGATTTTTCAAACTTTGCACTGCTTTTCCTCGTGCTCAATTAAACAATGATTTTTCCTATACAAATCAAAATCGTAGATACAAAATTTCTCAAGAACTTATCATTTGTGATTTAGCCATCCGCAGAAATACTCATATGCGAATGATTAGTCATTCAGTATTTCCGGCTCGATTAACAAATGAGAAGTTTTTTTCTCGATTTTCCTCAATACTGACAAAGATGGCGAGTTCAAACTGGAGTCTTTGACAAACGTGATGATTTCAACTTTCCAATTAACAACTTCCACTTTTCAGCAATAATGTACCCTCTGTCCCATCGTACCATGGCGTTTACAATTAAAAAGCAGTTCTGTTTAAAACATACGAAAAACATTTAAAGACGTTAACGCTAGTTTATCATTACCGAAACACGTTCTAGTGACAAAGATGACGTCATTTTTTAAATACCATACATCCTACAACAACTATCCTAATTAAAACTGTCAGAAAGACACTTATCATGCCTAACCTAACTTCCGTCAATTTTTTTCTTTAAACTTGTTAATACTTAGAACTATAAACTTTTCAAGTAAACGAATATATAAACAGAAAATATGCAAAAAAATATTGAAATGTTACTGTTTAGTGTTGAATAGAATAGGGATAAAATTGGTTTGTATAATAAATTTGTCTTTCAACCTACAGTTCGTTTATGTCGTTTAGAAATGGGGAAGGTAAACACTCAGATAATAATAAACGATGTTCCAATGTCTCCTCTACAACATATAAATTGGTCCAAAATTAACTTAAAGTGCCTCACCCCTAATCTGAGATTTTCGAACATTAACCATTCTGGAGTTTTTCCTAAACGTTGTCCAATGTCTCCTCTAACCATTCTCGAGTTTTTCCTAAAACCAATGTTTCCTCTACAACTCATATATAGTATGTTCGAAAATCTGAAATTGGCAAAATGAGATTAGACTGGGCGAGCATTTTAGGTTCATTTTGGACCAGTTTATAGAGATCGAGACAGACAAACAATGGTGCATCGTTTAGGATAAAAAAAATGAAAACAACACGCTATAAATTCCATGCGTCCGATAATTGTTTGATCTTTGAATATTGTTTTGATCGGTATAAATATTGATTTTTTTTATCAATGAATTAAAACCCAACTAAATATTGTTTTACATTTATGTACATTCACGATCCTACAATCTGTCGATACCTACATTTTTGTGCATTGCACAAGGTCATGTTTTTTCTCTGACTGTTAATAATCTTTACACTAACTCTGATTGATATTTTATTCTTGGATACTTGTACATGATTTTCTCATAAGTTGTTTTGGCTTTTAACTAGCTTTTCAGTTACTGCGAGTATTTTCAGATCTGTACTTTGTGTCATTTGTGTTTTTGTTAGTTGTTTTTTTTATTGTTGCTTTGTATCGATCTAATGAGTTAAGCCCTTTTCAACTGATTTTTATAGTTTGATTTTATGTTATATACGGTCCCTGGTTAGGGGGAGGGGGTGTTGCTGCACCGGCAAACATGTTTTTTAACCCCGCCACATTATGTATGTGAGGAATTCAGTGGTTGTCATTTGTTGTTGTTTTGTACATAAATCAGGCCGTTATTTTTCTCGTTTCAATTATTTTACATTTGTCATTTCGGGGCATTTTATACATGCTATTCGGTATGGGTATGGATTTTGTTCATTGTGAAAGGTCGTACGCTGACTTAAAGTTGCTAACCTTCTACGTCGTTTGGTGTCTGGTGGAGAGATGTCTCAATGGCAATCATACCACATCTCCTTATTTTAGCTCTTTCAAATATGACATATCTCCCAAATTTAACACTTTTGAACATGACATTATGATACCATACAATGAAAATCAGCGTGTTAATTCATGACAGCTTGATATTACAGTTATAAAGCAGAACTGTATTTAGCTTTGAAAACTGGCAGTTGGAAAAAGGTTATACTTTTACGGTTTTATACATGAACCAAATTTATGAGATGAACTGAAATAAAATCAAACATTAAGAATTTTTTCAAAATTTGAACTGCTTTTTCTCGTGCTCAATTGAACGATCAACAAAATCTCATAAAACAATGATTTATCTATCCAAATCAAATGCTTCTTCCTACACAAATCAAAATCATAGATACAAAATTTTTCAAAACTTTATCTTGTGTGATTTAGGGACCGGTCAAAATTTCTTGATGCATGGGACCGGTGCAAACTGTAATGGGACAAGCACTTTTTGCAGTGTTTACAGGAATGGGACTCAATGTTTTTTCATTATTGGCAAGCATGG